GGGGAGTGTGTGTGCTTGTGTGTGTGTGTGTGTGTGTGTGTGTGTGTGTGTGTGTGTGTGTGGCATCTGACTATATAATAATGAGCTAAGCTTAATTACATCATTAAGCAGAAGGCTGTAGGACTCCTGCTGCCTGTGGGGACTGATTAGAATTTTACAATACTATTTTCACTTATTAAACTCTGAACTGAATAAATAAATTCCATTAAAAACGTGCATGTGATGCATTTGTCTTTGCCTTTGCTTCTGGCACATACCTAATCCTACCAGTCAGAGTGTGGGCAGCCTTTCTCTGCCGTGGTGACACACAGGTATTTTGAGTTGAATGTCTTCTCTATTTTGCATGTTTCACATCTCCCCATAACATTATTCCAGCTCCCCCAAATTGTTAGTTACTGTAAATGGCTACCACATGTAGAACAGGTTTGAGATTTTGTTTCCATTTTTATACATTATGTCAAGGTGACATTTATGGCCCTAATCAGCATCATCCCAGTCTGAGGAAGGCAGAGAGCCGGCTGGCTCTGGTCTGGGTTACTCTTAGCAGAGCTATAAGAGGAAATGAGAACTTTAAAGTCTGGTTTGGGTCCTGAAAAGCCAAAATCATAACATCAGGCCCTCCTGGCATTCCTGTTCAGTCGGATGACCTCTTGTTCATGTAAGCAAGGTTATAAAATTGTCTCTACCCTTCTAATTAAAGACTTCAGCAGGAATTTTAAGCTACTTAGAGAGTCAGGGTCAGGTTTGCGGCAGCCTGGGCCACCCAGGGAAAAGACAGCTGTGTCACATTCGAAGCTGTCCCATCCCTGTCTGCAAGAAACACTCCAGTCTTGAAAACTTGTCTAGACCACGTCACTCCTACATGATTCTGCCATAGAGGGTGAGCAGAGGTCGGTGTGTGGGCTGGGATTTAAGAGTGTCCTACATGAAAAGGCTTCCCTATAAGGACCACTCCTATCCCAAAGTCGTTACAGTCAGCAACTGCTCTTGTAGGTCAAGTGTGGACCTGAGTCAGTTCACACAGGGCTCTCTATGCACAATGCACACACAGCATACCAAAGATATTCTGCCTGGGGTCTCGGGATGTCCAGGGCAGTCTTGATTAGACCAAGACTCTTTACAGAAGCTGTATCTCCCTATTTATTTATTTTTTGTTATTTATTTTGGCAGTGCTGGGATGGAACCCAGGTCATGTGCAGACTACCCAAGCCTGGTATTGCTTTCTTATTGACATGCTCTCCCTAGCAATGCCTAGCGCCAGGACCCCAGGCCTCCAGGCTGCCTGTGCAACAGCCTGCCTACCTGCGTTCTCCCCAATAGAACTGCTTCCACGTTGGGGTCTCTCCCTTCTTCTTAGTCAGAAATAACCTACATGTGCTTATGACCCTGCTAAATAAATTGCTAACAGTTCTGTTTTGAGATAAAATATGGTCTTGGCTAAACTACATTAGGACTTTATAACCACAAAATATTGGGTTTTTGAGAATAAATTTATTTCCTAGAGAATTTTAAAATTCTGCCTTAACGTTTTGCTCAGATTGTATTCAAATGGTC